ACCTGGCCTTGCCAGCAGCTGAAAGCAACTGTATTTCTGAGGGAACACACTAATTTTCTGAATGTGTTGCAGCAAGGGGACAAGACTGGGAAGCCAGCAAGGTCAAAACCTCCCTCCTACCCTCAGGAAAGAGAAAATCCTGGTATTAAGAGCACACATTCAAATGGGAGGCAGATCTGGGACAACATGCACTGGGTGGTTCCCCTGATATATGTCAAGAGTAACACACCTTCTCCTTCTTCTCTACAGGTCTGTAGTAAGCTGCTGCAGTGAGGATGATGATGTGCATAGTATAGACAAAGAAGTTGAAGTAAAATAAGTGTTTGACAAACCGGTCCCACTTGTCTTGTAGCAGCCTGTTAAGGGGTTCCACCAGCAGCATCTCATGACGGTTCTGAGTGGAAGGAAAAAGAGAAGAATCTTGATGGGACTAGTACATAGCAGGCTTTGGAAACAGCAAATGATATTCATCTTCAGCAAACGTTCCCTCTAGTACTTTTAAACTCAGGAGGGGAGATTGCTGTTTTATAGAATTTAAGCAAAAGAGCTGGAGCTCCTCCTGAACAGTGAATAAAATGCCAAGGAGGAGCATACTCACTGGGGTTTCACTGCTGTAGGCAATAATCTCAAGCACTGAATTTTTTTCACATGTGTCTATACAGGACAGGTCATAAAGGGATGAGTGGACAGGTCCATAAGCCCATTCAGTGAACTTCCTAGACAAGTGTCTGCACTCCGGATCTTTGATCTCTCGTCTGAGGATGTAAGCGAAAATCTAATTGCAAAAGAACAACACAACCAACATTTCAGAGCTAATGGACTTCTAGTCCCTCAGTATCTCCACAAACAGGATGGCTAATTTCTTCCTAGATTAACTGTGCTGAAGTCAAACCACTGGAACACTGCAGACATCAACGTCTGAAGTAAACAATTTTCTGACTGGATGCTGGGAGATGAGAAATACAAATACCACTTACAACTTGCCATGACCTGTTTCAAAACTGCAAGAGAAAAGCAGAGATGTATGTTACACATCTCTGAGCATGCAGCCATTTTGAATGAGGACTGCTACAACTCATCTTTTGGATGAGTTGTATCAGCCAGTCAAAAGTACAAGGGCTTTAGTGGTTCAGATGATAGCAGAGACCAGCTTTCTGTTTCCACTTGTCTGCTTGCATACCAGTGGCGTATGAGTAACGCTAGGTGGGCACAGACACACACACTTTGTAGCCTTTAAGGACTATACAGTTTTGCATGTTAAACTGCAGTATTGGTTCCTCTTAACTAAAACGCCCTAACAATAAGCAGTGATAAAATCTGTCCTGCATTACTATTTTGCGTGTACTCTGTATAACTTGATACAGTAATAAGACAGTTAAAACACATCTGCTCACCCACCCCTATCTTCCCTGTTTTGGCTGCCAGAGTTAATGGTGTGAGCCCTTTCTTGTTGGTGAGTTCTTCTAGCTTCAGGATTGGATTAATTTTGGCACCAAGGATCAATATGTTATTGTACATCTTGGTAACAAACTTGGTATTATCCTTAGTATTATCTGCAATCTCCACCAGCGTGTGCAGGACCATGTTGCCCATGGAGTCCTCAGCAGCGATGTTGGCAGCCTGATAGGGGTTCTCAAGGAGGAATTTCACAATGCAGAGCTGGTTGGTGCAGGCAGCCAGGGACAGAGGCAGCTCCCCTATGGGCAAGCAATGGGAATGAGTTATCAGAAAGCCCATTATTACACATACATATACAGAAAGATCATGTAGTTTTCATCTTTCACTGTGAGAAGAGGTCAATTTCTCTGTATAACAACTATCACCAATTCTTGTGATAGTTGTTAGAATCACATTTGCTCTGGTTTAACTGCAGCACAGAAACATGGCTCCTTAAAAAAGCACTGGAAGGACAGCTCGCAGAAGGTTACAACCTTTCAAAGGATACAGTGCCCAGAAAACAAAGGGATGCAGACACCAAGCTCACAGTGAACACCACCAACTGTGCTTCCTTATAAACTCAGCCTTTGGGAGGTAATATTTGGACTAAGTGGTGAAACAGCCCATCTGGTAATTCTAAGCCTCCAGTCCCACATAAACAGGATTATTTAACAGCTTGCATTTGGGATTATTGATTGAGTTATCCAAGCATTAAGCCCATATTGTGCTCACCCCTACCAAAATAAAAGCCAGGTTTCCCTTTGATTTTCCTGAAGAACTCCCCACAGGCTCTTGCATGAACATCTGCTCCATTCTGAACCAAGAGCTTCACCAGGTACATGTTCCTTCTCTCAATGGCGATGTGAAGTGCAGTCTGGCCTACAGAGACATTCATTAGATGAAATTCAACATTTAATACAGATGAAGAGCTTTCAGGCACGACAATTTGTTTGGCTCCATGTAAGACGGTGGAACTGAAAGCTTTGCAGAATAAAAAGCTCTGTAACTGAACAAAAAATGATGGCACAGAGAGCAAATGCAAGTCCCCCGAGCTTGCTATGAAATCACTGTATATAAAAATGGCAGAATATTGCACCTCACAAAACAGTGCCCTAGAATGAATGCACTGATTGTTAATCATATACTGCAACTTCGGGGAGCTGCATCTCCAGGCATAAGACCTCATGCAGAAGGCTGTTTGAAAACCCTGCCTAACCCTATCTTCAGACTTACCACCAAGAGTATTCACTGTAGCAGCCATTTCTCTTACCCTTGTAGTAGCTGTCCGTATACTCGGCGTTAACAAACTCTTTCAGAGTTCCAGTTTTCTTTGCAATATCCAGCAGCAAGGGAATGGTGTCATTTTTCCCATCATGTAGATTCAGCATAGCTTTCAGTAAACAGGTTTTCCCAGTTTCTGGCTCTATAACACAAAAAAATTGCAGCTATATAGAAGTGACTACAAACCTACCATCTACTCCTGGGCATGCAGGAATTAACAAGCTTCTCTTCAAAAGCTTATACAGGGTTTGACAGAAAATTGCAACTTTTCTGAATTCTCCTGTAACCTTACATCAATGTATTGCCCATTCAATAAGGAAGCACTAGCTATTAGAGGACCTCCTGCAGACACTAAACACAATTATGGTTTGTTATTTCAACCTCAGGAGCACTGCTGGAAGAAAAAAAGGGCAACTTAAAGTACATGAAATTAAAGGGTACCTTTGAACTCATCATCTGTGAGATGCTTCAAGGTTCTATTAAGGTAGAGTAGCAGATCATCCAGGTCCCTTGTGTTGCCTTGGGCTACAGCATCAAAGATCCTTCTGCGGTCATAAAATTTGAAAGCCTTTTCTGAGCAGCCTGTGATGGAATCTGTACATAGGAGCCTAAAAAGGGAGAATTTCAGTTACTTAAAGCCAGATATTTAGCAGACTTTTTATAAACTACCAGAATACTATTTTTCATTTTCTTCTGTGAAGCAGTAAGCACTACAGATGGATCTGCAAAGTCTGAGAGGTCAACAAAGTCTGCAAGCAATTTATGTATCTGTTACTGAAAAGTTGAGAACAAAGCTTAAAAGAGATACTGAAGTATGACAGCCTAACTGCAGGCCTGGGAGCCAGGCAAGCCCACATTATCATTCTGAACCATGTCCATCCACTAAACAGTCTCAATCAGGTGAATTAAGGTCTACTGCTAATTTTGGGCAAAATATCCATGGACTGCATTTTCAGAGATGCCAAGAGACAACAGCTATGGTCACTTTCAGACAGCTATTGTCACTCCTTATTTTGGCATAGAAAACAGTGAAATTGAAAAAATGGGCACACTCATGGAGAGAACAAATGCTGCTCTAAGAAACACATTCTGCAGCTGTTAAACCACTCATTACAACCAAATCTTACAGGGCAAACTTACTTGTGAAGTTTCCCCCTTTCCAAATTGGCATGAAATTTGATGACAGAAGGTGCCAACAGGTGATCCATCTGGTACAAGGAGTCCATGGGTGCCATGTCCTTGTCACTATCCCCCATCACAAACCTCCCACGTCTTGCAAAGATGTTGCTTTTGGGTGGCTGCACCTTGGTGCTTAATGTACCCTGGAGGCTGTCAGGCATTTCCACAGTGGAGTCTTCCCCATCCGTGTGTTCATTTGTCACTTCAGATTCCTCCGTGTCAGAACTGCCTAATTTCTTCATCTTCCCAAGAATAGAAGACATGATGAGCAAGCAGTCTGTGGGGAATAACACAAACACCTCAAGTCAGCACTTCACAGGGCTATGAGTCCCCCTTTTGCCTAGGAGTACTCTCCAGAAACAGCAGGGAATGGATTGGTTACTCTTATCTTAGAAGTGAGACAGATGGACACATATTCACTAGAGAGCTGAAACAGTTTAGTAGGTCATTATCTTCATGCTGTTTGTTACTGTCCCCACTGCCCTTACCCATTTCAGATTGGGGAAAGCAAGCCAGAATGTCCCAGATCTTGCCAGCAACCCCACTGGAGACCTGACTACTTCTGTCTAAAACTAGTGCCTCATCCCCCTCCAATCATTGTTAAAGCCTGAACAATGTTTCCTTTTCTTCTCTACTTTCTGTTTTGTGCTACAATATATTCTCAGGATTTTATCAGGCATGTGAAAAAAGCCAGCTTGTGCCATAACAGCAGCTCAGTGATGCTCAGCAGAGGGCTTCCTGCATATCAGAAAATTATCACTTAATGGCTTCACCAGAATTACAGCAGTGCCCAACAAAAATTGGAGCGTGCGATTATTAAGAGATGAATGTCACCTCAAACATGAGACAGAAAGGGAAAGGTTACCACAGATAAGAGATGACTGCAAAACCACACGTCTGATCTTGTCTGGTTTACAACCACAAAGAATTTTACAAAAGTTAACAACTATACTATACTGAAAGTAGAGCAGGCTTTTTCTGCTTTCTTATCAAACTGTTTTAATCAGACAGATGTTGGTCTTTATGCCACTGAACGCAAAATATTCTGGAACTCCAATAGTGGAGACAGGAATCATCATATTTGAACTGCTTTTAGAGCGCTCTGATCTTAGCCTTAGAAACATACTCTAAACTCCTAGGTTGCTTGGAAATGTTACAGCTTTGAGCACAGGAACGTTACAAAGTCTTAAGAAGCCTTCAATCGTAAACCAAATTACAGTAGTCACTAATGGTATCTGTATATTCAGTGTAAAAACAACATCATAAACACATAACAAGGTTGTTTCTCGTCAAACCCTCAAGAATACTCTGAGGGTTTGTCTGCAAACCTATACTATAAAGCTGCATTTTCACTTCCATAAGACTAATTAATATTTACAGTAAGGGTCACTTAGATTTTTCTGTGCAAGCAGGATAGGAAAGCAACTTTTGTCAGGCATTTGCATCTTCTACAATTTTGTACAATACACATATAAAGAAAACATGAATTTGCAAACCTGCACATTTAGGGTTACTGGAAGCACCACAGTGTAGTACCAATAAAATACTAATGTCCTTTGTGCTCACCTTTCAAGTTCTGTGTGTCCTTAGAATAATGTGATATCTTATTAGCTTAACTGTTCTATAAATAAGGTATCATATATAGAAAAATATTTCCATTTGGAATATGATCCTAAAAATACAGACGAACAATTACTGCAGCAAAAAAGTTACAGTTTTACAAAAAATACACTGGGAATACAGCCATGTATTATTTTAATTATTTGTCTTATTTAAATTAATATGGATTGAGCCAAAACCATCAGCGACATGGCTATGGAAAATGGAATCACTCGTTTTCCACTGAATAGGTGCAATATTAAAATCCACAGAAGAGGTTCAAACCTGTCTCCCTGGCAATTTGCTCAAAACTAGGTTAGTCATTATATGTGCTTTCATTTCTCAACCCTGTTGGTAATGTCTTTGATAATAAAGACAAAGCTGCATTTCCTCAGGAGTATCAATTTGCAAGGGAAATAACCTTCACAACTCTGGAAGGAATCTTAAAACCCCCAAATTATAATAATTATAAAGCCTAAAAAATTCATAACCTACCTCAACTCTTTGAATCCTGGATGCATTGAAGTCAATACATTAAATGATACAAGGAAATATTTATGATAGAGTGTCTAACCACATCACAACTTACAATAAATAATAAAGAGACTTTACAAACAGCTAAAGCTGTGCTGTTCAAATATACATGCAGAACTTACAAATACTGCAAAAAATCCTGTCTTCTGAAAAATAGTCCAGTCTCAGTAAGCACCCTCTGATCTACAGAAATTTGGTGCCAGATATTCCTCCTCCAAGGTGCCTGGACTGAAAAGCCCTCAGAGTTTGCTTCTCCACTTCATTTGTCTGCAAAAGTGTTCTATGTGTCTGAGGATTTTTAGCATCAAGGGAAGTTCACTAGAACAGAGGATAGAGTAATAAGATCATTAAGAACAATTCTGGAACCAGAAGCATCAGTGGCTTTTATTCCCAGGAGTTTAGCAAAGCTCTTTACAAGAATTGCAGTAAGTTGCTGTTGTTTTTTCTTCCCCTTTAATTGCACTTAGTAATGGATACTCTTCTCCAGATTTCCTCTTCATAAATATACTCAAACTTGCAAAAAAGTCCCAAACCACCAGACAGCAATTGTCTCTGTGGGTCACAGTTTCAATTCAATTTACAAAACTCTGTAACACATGCCATGGCTCTTCTCTGACATCAGTCATCTTTCTGGACACCTTTCTTGGGTGTCCAGCCCCACCAAGTATTTTATAGATAAGTTGATTCTGAACAGAGCTAAGGAAGACAGAAAGTCCTACGACCATTTTATCATTCCATATTCCTAAAACTTTTTAATTTTTATATATATAAATGTATTTTTTTTTCATCGATTCTCCAGGATAAAGGGGAGGACCTTACAGCTAGACGCATTTGGCAGATTAATAAATGGTTAGAACAACGGTGTCGTAGTCAGGGGATTGGGTATTTAGAACATGGGATGGGATTTGGGAGGCCAGGTCTACTG